ACCATGCCCAGCTAATTTTTTGTATTTTTAGTAGAGACCGAGTTTCGCCATGTTGGCCAGGCTGGTCTCCTGACCTCTGGTGATCCGCCAACCTCAGCCTCTCAGAGTGTTGGGATTACAGGCGTGAGCCACCACGCCTGGCCAAATTTTTTTTTTTTTAATCACTAGAAGTTGTGATGAGTTACTGAATTTTTTTCATTTCATTTTATTCTTTTTCAAAACTCAAATTAACACAAGAGATGACTAATCTTGTTTTCACATGAAAATTACGGACAAGTCAGGGCTCACTTTTCATTCCACTTTATTTAGACGTATCTTAATAAACTAAAAATTATCATAAGATTTTTCCATTGATATTTGCATTGTTTTTCATTTTTGAAAAAATTTCATACTCCAGTTATCCATTTTTAGTCAAGTTACAATGTAATTAAACTTACTAAGTAAAAATGTATACTTTAAGCTAAAAATTTAGAATTGCTACAAAGTCTTTTTTTTTTTTTTTTTTTTTTTTTTTTGAGACGGAGTCTCACTCTGTTGCCCAGGCTGGAATGCAGTGGCCGGATCTCAGATCACTGCAAGCTCCACCTCCCGGGTTCACGCCATTCTCCTGCCTCAGCCTCCCGAGTAGCCGGGACTACAGGCGCCCGCCACCTCGCCCGGCTAGTTTTTTGTATTTCTTAGTAGAGACGGGGGTTTCACCGTGTTAGCCAGGATGGTCTCGATCTCCTGACCTCGTGATCCGCCTGTCTCGGCCTCCCAAAGTGCTGGGATTACAGGCTTGAGCCACCGCGCCCGGCCGAATTGCTACAAAGTCTTACAGTTGTAGGGAATCAGAAGGAGAGGCAGGTTTCATTCAATGTCTTTTAGATCCAAGGTGACACGGCTATACTTACATTTATTTGTAATGTAATATTTAGAGAAAAACGTATTAATGCATTTTAGTGCTAAATGACGTGGAGGGTTATTGATCAACTCTGTACAGCAGATTTAATTTCTTGATACAACATGGCCTAGGGTGATGGTGTTTTAGATAAAAATCTCATGGATTTTATTTATTATTGTAATTTAAAAATACTTGATCTCATGAAAATATTTTAATACATTTCTGGTTGAAATAGAGTATATTTGCAATAGAAATCTTTCAAATATATTTTGTAGGATTTATGAAGGTAGAATGTTCAGTGCTCCCTCTCCTGGTTTTATCATATTGGTGAATTGACCTCTCAGCTCACAATTGTGGTAATTGAAGAACCAAATAAATACTCTGATATGATATTCTATTTTTGATTTGTCTATTCCAAACACATTTACAAGAAACCTATCCATCACTAGTAAAATTTCATTACATCCCAAAATCTAATGAGATCTATGAAAAAAATACAATTTAATCAATTTTATTCTTTTAAATAGCCTATTTTAATACAATTCATAATATTGAGAGCGAATATGTAGCTTTTTGGCTTGATTCTTATTCTACGCTATTTTCTAGTGATGCTTTTTTATTGTTATTGATGTTCTTAACAATGCTCTGTGTTCTTTAGAAGCAATTCCAAACACAACTTTAATTTTTGAAAGTGCTCAGACGTTTGAAAGTCCAGTGTGTGTGTGTGTGTGTATTATGTATGTATATATTTATAAAGTTTCAACGGGACCACTTGCTATTGTAAATAAGGAGACTAAACAATGTATTTTGAACTAAAAATTTCCATACTTATATTTATATGTAGTTTAGATTCTAGTTTTGTTTTTGTTTACTTTGTTTTTGCCAGACTTTAAGCTACTCCTGATACATAGTACCTGGAAAAATATTTCCTTTCCACTAAGTTTTTGGTTTTTAGGTGGCTTTTAAAAGTTTCTACGGAACCTTCAATTCCACATAAAGTTATCCTCACTGCAGCATGAAAAGGCACAATTTTGATAATAAATGTCTGAAATCCTGTAGTTTGTAAGAAAGCAGAAAGCAAGTTTCCTACTTAAAGTGTTTTTTTCCCAGTCACATCAGCTATTACTAAGAATTATAAAACTTCTTGATAAATTTTTTCTATTCTAATTAATTGACTAAATATACGGGTTGGTATTTTTTGCAAAAGTATACAACTATATTACAAAATTGAAATAATTTGGTTTTTTCTCCATGTGCTTGATTTTTGGGAAATCATACAAGCCAAGGTAAAGCAATTATTTAAAAAACCCACGGCAGAAAATGTCCCCTTTATTACATACCTTTATATTACATTTGCAATAAGGAGTGCCACCTTTTGAACTTTAGGTTTCACAAATTCTGAACTTTGTTGTAAATAGGAACTGTAATGTTACATAATCATCTTTTTGTGTCAATATACATTTTCCCTCTAGTTGATCAGAAGTGATGACTTGGCATAAAACTTTTTTCATTTTCTTTTATTCTTCACAATTCTTTTCTAATTCAGCTTTGGAGTCCACCGATCCTTTTAATTGAGATCGACAACTAAAGATTGCTAACTAAATCCGAATGTATTCCTCTATGACAAACTGCATTTGCAGAATTTTTAGAGGCACTCCCGAAGTTTTAAGAGGATGTTTATTACACGAGTCTGTAGGGCAACATTTCCAAGTTGGTACACATAAACGAAAAAGGAAACGACAGTTAAGGAAATCCTGTTCCAGGTTTTCGGGCAGCCCGAGTGATTGACACATGATATCACCGGAGGCGTGTCCTGGAGTGGAGGTGGAGGTGGAGGCTAGGAGCTGAAATTCTGCGGAGCCCGAGTGAGATCGCTCTGTAAAGCACGCAGTGGTTTGCAGCGTGGTATCAGCGGAGTTCCCTGCCCTGGATAAGGAACAGCTACAGTCGCTGTTAAAATGTGCCTGAAAAGCAATTTGCAATCTTTGCATTAGGTAAGTACTGTTTCCTTCCGTAGACATTTTAGGAAAGATAAGGTGAGAAATGTTGACTTTTGCAAGGAACTGAACATTTATTTCTTTGAACTTGCTTTCGAGCCAAGATTACTGGTTGCCTTTCAAAACACCGGTAGCATTCCCACTGCTAAAACTAATGCTCTTAAAGTAAATGCTACCGCTGAAAGAAAAAGCAGGGTCCCTTTCACCTTTCTTTCCTTAACCGAACAGTAGCAAGTTTAAAGTCTGAAACGATCGAATGTGTGAAACACAGGGCCGTTAATGCCTTTATGCGAAGAGGGGCTGGCACTCGGTGTGTGGACCAAATGCGTGTTTGTTTAGGCATTGTTGGCGACCGAATCCCGAGCGAAGCATTGGTTTAAAACCTGAATTTCCCGTCTCTGTGTATTGATTTCTAACGCGCAGAGGCGTTGCTTGAACGTTGTTTGAACTCCTAGGCATTCCACGGGGCAAAAGCACCTCGGCAAAAACGTGCAGGACTGCATGTTACTTTGGTTCGCGGCTGACACGCCGACTGTGCGCCGGCCTGTCAATCACCGGGAGCAGCAACAGGGAGCACATGGCAACGAGCTGCGGGCGAGCTGGCCAGCAGCCCGCCCCGGGTCCCAGCCCTTCGAAGAAAGGGACATTCACGAGCTTCTATCTCTAATCCTCTGTCGCAGGCATTTCGGCCGTGGAACCGCAGGCTCGGAGGACTGGGTGTGAGCGCTGCCCAGGAGAGGCTGACCTGCCGGGACCGGAGTGCCCGGGGACCTTGTGCCCCTACTTGCCCAACGTGCGGGATCGGCAAAGCGCCTCGGCCTGCGCGGGGGACAAGGAACGACGCCCGCCTCTCTCTCTCCGAGAAGGATCCCCAAACCTCGCTCTCTTCACCCCTCCCC